GTCCATTCAAATACTCATTGAGTTGGACATATCCTCTACAAATCATTGTCTTTTTGGCTCAAAACAAAGATTATTCTTTTTAAAAAACATATTGTGTAGTTTGATTGTATTAACTATTAAATTACATGATAAAAATTATTTAATGAGAATTAAATTTTTTAAAATTAAAAGTTGTCTTCTTACATCAATTTATATTTTATGATCCAATATAATTTGAAGATTAAAACAACAAACTTATTCTTTAAAGTTTAAAGTCAACAAATTTGTGTGGCCAAAACCAGATGTCCCATCCCTTATTTAATTTGTTATGGTTAGTAATAATGGTTAAAATTTTATTTTAATTTAATTATTAAAAATAATTTCTAATAGATAAAATAATTAGCATTTACTATTTAACGTATTAAAATTAATTTATAAATAAATATTTTTAATATCATATCTTGTTTTAGAAAAATTAAATTAACAAAATTATTAATAAATTAATGACCTCCGGAATTTAGATAGTTGCATTAACCTAGCCCCTCCCCTGCCCGAAAAGATTCCAGTGGTTCAAGAAAAAATATAAAATGCTGCAGTCCCTAGTCATGATATGTCCTATCGGCCCACATTCATTCTTATGACCCCCAATATACATGCGACAAATAAAGGGTAATCCAACGTCTTAGGAGCGCGTAGACCTCAATTAACTGCTTTCGGCTTATAATTTTTTTCTGTTGTGATATTTATCCATTTCAGGTCATCATTGACTTGCTTTTTTGACGTTTTCGGTGAGACTACTAGTCTGCTACACACACCACAGATAGAGCACCAGGCACCGGCAACACAACCTGGACCTCTCCACCCTACAAAAATGCTGTCGTGCCCACTGTTATCAATACCATTTCATATTGGTCGGTATGACTCGTATGTATCAGTTTTTTAACTTGACCGAAATGATAATATGAAATTTTATTTCAGTTACAATTCGGATGATTCTGTCAAAATTTGGTGTACTGATTGAAATTTCGACGTACCGACCGATACACCAAATTTCGAGCGATACATAAGATTCTCAAATAAAAAAAAAAAAAAAGAAAAAGAAAATAAAGGATCCCTTAGCCCAAAACGATGTTGTTTTGGCTAGGGGTTTCTTAATTACTCTACAATTTCAGAATGCACAGTGTTGCCTTGCCAAGCCATCCTGTGATCCTTGAGTCCGCAACACTTCTCACCGCACTACTGATGTGCAACTACTGCTCCTTTTGTTGTTCACGAATCATGACTTGGGGTTTCTTAATTACTTTGCAACTTCAGATTGCACAATATATGTTGCCTTGCCAAGCCATCCTCCGATCCTCAAGTCAACGACACTCCTCGTCGCACCATTGACCAACTGCTACTCCTCTCACTGTTTCACGAATCATGTGCCTTAGATCTTAGACCTGGAGAGCAATTCGTGGGCTAGGGGTTATAATTTCATATTGCAATTTGATGTAGATAAAATAAAAGGTAGGTGAGAAAAATAAGGAAAGCCCTAATTTACTCTCGATAATTTCCTCTAAAGAAAATACAAGGGAAATCTAGTAGAAATTGAAAGAAAGATTTTTGATATATTCCTCGATATATTACTCTGAAACCCAAGGATTAAAGATATTTTCTCAAGTGGAAGATTACAGAGGATAGGGGATAGTAGATGATGAAGAAGAACAAATTTCCGAACAACTCTAAAAATGAAACCCAAAGCTCCTAAATAACCCAACCCTATTAGAAACAACCTCAAACGACAATGTTTAATTAATTCTACTTGGCAGCCATATCATCATCTAGGTCCTACATGCCTTATTTACCACATATCACAATTTTTGCAATTTATGTTCTGCAATTTCAAATTCATGGGTTAGGATTTGCTTGGGTTATAATGGGGTTTAGGTTAATGATTGAGGAAAGGAAGGATTGTTATTAACTCAAAAGGTTTTCTTAAATATTGTTCTCAATTACATTAATTTCTCTTATAATTATTTCAAATTTTGATATTTAATTTATAAAAATATATATTTATACCGATAAATCTGAAACGGTACGTGAAAATTTCTAGTATCTGGTACATACTGTTTAAGGAACAAAACTGATACGCATACCAATACGATAATGATTACTTTGGTCGTGTCCCTTGTAATCATATGAGATTTCTTGTTTGTCTCTACCTACTAGGAGAAAGCAGAAATAGAAAACCGCTTTTGGGTTGGCAAGGCGCAAGATACCACTCAAATAATTTTTGCTTTCTACAATGGAAAAAATATTACCACTAGCTACAATAGGACTACTTCAAAACCATTTTAAATTTGAGGAAAGGAAAAATAGGTTTAAGTAGTATTAAAAAGGTTAAATACCTTTTTTGGTCCATCTACTATAGGAAAAAGCCTCCTTTTGGTCCCTATACCGAAAAAATCCCTTTTTTGGTCTCTAAATTTTAAAATTCGACCCCTTTTTAGTCCCCTCGTTAAAATTTTGCTGACCTATCAAATTAATTAATAGAAACATCTGACATGACTATTTTAGAGTGTGATATGGAAATTTCAGAGTGTGACGTGGCTATTCCACAGTGTAAAAATGCTTATGCGTGAAAAAAAAACCCTAAAATGAGACCCATATTCTAAAGTTTTCCATTTTTTTTTTTCAATTCCCTTTTTGAATATCATCTTCCTTTTTTCGAAATTCTTGTTTTTCGTTCATAATCAACTCTTTACACGTGAGATTGATCAATATAATTGATCATTTCAAAATTTCAACCCTTTATTCTAGTTAAATCTAGGGCATAAATGAAATAAATTATGAAGTTAATAGCAACATAAACACAACATGAACTTATTACATGTAGTTTCAAACTCAAACATCAAACATGATTTGGGTTTTGCAATGAACCCAAACTTAACATCTCTAATTCAAAACTAAATATGAAAATTTATTTTCATTTTGGATATATACACTTAAAATAAAAAAGAAAAAAAAAAATCAAAACCCGACACTGGGCTCGCGCGAAACCCAGATCTGGGTTCTCCCATGGAACCCAATGTTGGGTTCTCCCGTGGACCCAATGCTGGGTTCTCCCGTGGACCCAATGCTGGGTTTCAAGAGGAACCCAGACTTGGGTTTGTGCGAAACCCAGCTCTGGGTTCCTCGCTAACCCAATGTTGGGTCTCATGAGGAACCCAGCACTGGTTTCCTTGTGAACCCAACACTAGGTTCCACGAGGAATCCAAGATGATGATGAAGATGATTCCGAAGAAGAAAAGGAGGGTAAGGATGAGGAGAAAAAAGAAGAGGAAGAAGAAGATGAAAAAATTAAAATTAATTATGTTTAATTCATAAATTAATAAAGTAAAATTTTTAATTTGTATAAGTGACATAAAATATTCAAATAAAGTGCTTATATATATTTATAATTTTGTCCACGTCATTTATAATTGTCCATGTAATTTTCATGTCATTTATAATATTGTTTATATAAAAAATAATGAAATAATTTCGTTAATTAACGTGACAGGTCAGCAAAATTTTAACGGAATGACTAAAAAGGGGTCAGATTTTAAAATTTAGGGACTAAAAAGAGGATTTTTGTAGCACAGGGACCTAAAGAGAGTTTTTTCCTATAGTAGAGGGACCAAAAAGGGTGTTTAACCTATTAAAAATGTTGAGATATTTAATTATAATTATTAAATATATAAATTATAATATAAATTTTAATTTTATTAATTTTATTTTGTGATTATTATTATATATTTTAATATTTTTAATCGAAATATTTTAATTTTTCTTTATCTCAATTATGTATAGGAAAGACCCATAATTTCATTTTCTTTTACTTATTTTAATAAAAAATTATTTTTATTTTACAAAACTGAATTCCATCAAAATTTTAAAATTTACACGATCCAAGATTTTTTTTTTCTCAATAAACAATACTTTATGAATTTTTTTTATGGTTTATGATCCGAATATCACTATCAAAGCAAACCAAACTTACCAATAGTTACTAATTGGTAGGCATTAACCCATTATTTCTATTGCCCGTAGGAACTCACGTGAATTTAACGAGTGGAAGAGAAATTATCATTGTTTTAGCAATTAATGGATCAACAAATTATTTTTTGCATCAAGTGAATCAATAACATTTATATATGTGAAATGTTAATCAATTTAATCAATAGTCATAAAAATAATTAATCTAAGACAAAATGTAAAGGAAAATTTAAATTGAAGTCGGTGTTTAGTATAGCAATTATCAGTTTCATATAATTCAATAAGTATAAGAGTATTTAGATTATTAATAATAATAATTATCTATGATTAAATTAGACAAAATAATTAACTATTAATTTCAACCATAATAATAATTACTGCGACCAAATTTCATAGCTAAATTTTTTCTATTATCGATTATGTGGCTCATGTGAGATCCACCAGAATTTCGTCCTAAATTTTGACCATACAAATTGATTTTATCTATCATTATTCTTTCAATTGCTATACTAAACACTCTTAAATTTAAAGGCCAAATATGGGGTTTTTCAATTACTAAACTTATATTTTTAAGGCTTTATTTTCTTCTAGAGTTTGTGTTTGTGTATCTGTTTTAGTTCTATTGTAGTTTCTATTTGTGTTTTTAGTTCCTCTGTTATGTAAAGACTTCTGTTTTGTTTTAAACTCAATACATTTTTTAGCCTTAAACTAACTTTTTAAAATATTTTATTTTAAAGCAATAAAATAAAAATAA